TATATATAGTTTCCTTATAAGTGATATGATATTGCAATTATATTTTCTATCATCAATGTACATAACTTTAACTCTTCAAAAATCTGTTATTTTCTTTGCTTCAGCTATCGTATTAGTTTTTATTTCTATTGTTTTTCTTTCCATTAATATTTTTCAAACTAGCTTTTTTACCATTGCATTTCCTTTTCACACTTGTTTTGATCTATTATTTTTTTTCCATTAATATTTTTCAAACTAGCTTTTTTGCTATTGCATTTCCTTTCCACACCTATTTTGAAATGTCTAACGGAAACAACAAATCTATCTACCTTCATCAGGTAGGGTACAAATCAGTACTCTATTCAGACTCCACTTGTGGAATTATACTGAATATGTTATTGTTGTATAATTACATTTTAAGTGATCTTACTTGACTGTATTAATATTTTTTTTATAGTACTATCAGTGCATAGAACTCAAACTCGATCTTTTTCAATTTCAGGCACCAGAGGAGATCAGGGAAATGATCAAAGAAACATCAATGAAAATGAGCATAGAATGTGGGAAAGCACTAAAAGAACTATCAAAATCTATGAGGAAAATGAATTTGCCAATTTCAGCTGATGAACATGTCACAAATGCAAAAAATTCAGCCAAGAAATTAAATTCACTTTTAAAATCAAGAATTAATAATTGGGAGGAAATTAATTTACTACAAGTGATTCCATTGGCTACAATTGCATCAATTTTAACAGATATTGTTATTTGTGTTGAAGAAATTGGACAAGGGGTTAATGAACTTGCTTCATTAGCTAATTTTAAAACCACAAAAAGTAGTAAAGAAATAATTAATACAAATAAGGTGATGGTGGTGGAGAAAATAGAATTATCAAATAATAATGTTGTTATTACTATTAATGAGCAAAATATGAAATTGTGATGTATTTGATTTATTGGTTAATTAAATATATTTACATAATGTACTACTACTATTTATTTGTTTCTTTGAAAAAAGAAGAAGAAGAAGTTGGGATGTGTGATAGAATTGAGGTTCACAATTTGTGTTATATATCGAGAGAGGGTTCAAAATTTCTTGTATTATGATAAAAGTGAAATATACAATTCTTTTGTTGTCTAACTTTTCATGATTTTATTTACTTTTTGGTTGGATATACACTTTTTTATGTCAAAAATAGTTTGTTGGATGGAAAAATTATGGTAGGAAGCGTTTTAACTTTTAATTAGCTTTATGCGAGATGAATTTAAATTATTTGAGAATAATAAAGTGGACATCAGAGATGTCGGATGAGAACTGAAAACAAGATAGTTAGGTGGTGTTCAAGTACTACGAATAATTTTTTTATTATTATAGAGAATGCTTCTCTTTATGCAATGTGAATTCATATTAATTGAGAAATAAATAAAAATATTGAACATCAGATGGAAAGGCATAAAAAGAAGATAAAGGTCTGAATTCTTGAATATTGAAAAAAGTTCTGATAGAAATACTTTCTTTTTAATAAAATTCTATGGGGCACAAATTTAAATTAATCGAAGCACCACTAAAATGGACTTGCGAAATTCCAACAAAGGTGGTGGAGAAAAATAAAATTATTAATAAAAATATTGAAGGAGTATGCAACAACTCAAATTAGTAGCAGTAAAGTCTATGTTTATGTTGAGTTCGAAAGTAATCAGGGCGTCATGCGGAAACTTACAATTGAAAATCATATGCCGATAAATTAGATGACACATAAAACTATACTAAAAGACATAATATTATTATATGATATGACCGATTGACCTACATAATTTAAAAACTAATTAAAAGCATATAAACCGCAAGGAGAAAAAATCTCCCTATAAACAAAAGTCTCTAAACGACTACATTGTGGATGCTATTGTGTTATGCTATAAGAATAGAGATCTTCAATTTATAGATCTCCAAACCTTTCCTCTAAGAAAAGAATAGCCAAATATGGAAGAGATTTGTTTTTCTTTTAAGAAACGTAAAAGCAATTATGGTAATGCTTTGACTTTTCTTTAAGGAAAATATAAAATTCAGATATGGAAAGAAAATTAGGGCAAAACCCTAACAGATTGTTCTTCTCATGAAGAAGATCATGTTTGTTCTTTGTATAGAGTCTTCATAGAGGATATACGGTTCATCAGTCAATTCTTTTGATGTCCCATTTTTTTTAGTTCTAACGATGAAATCTCATATTGCATAGTTTAATTCAAGATGATTCTCATCAACAAAACCTTCCGTGAGAAGCTAGAGATAACAAGATCAATTCAACAAATAAGAGTATTGTAGAATTAGTTAGCCTAAAAAACTAGCTTACGTGGTTTCATGCTTGACTTGAGTGAAAACCTTGCGGACAAATAACCCTTCTAATCAGGAACAACCTCAATGGCCTTGATTAATGATTTATCTACGGCTTTCTGGGCATCTTTCTTTTCCTGTGGATCGGAAGCTCATTCTTCTCTTCAAAAAACTCCCATTTACCTTCTTCTCAGCTTTCTTAGCAAAAGACTTATCATCAATCTTCTCAACATCCACTCCACTTACATTAACTTTCGTTGAAGTAACAATAACATAAGCTTGATTAACACGTCTTAAAGGAACTCCATTAAGCTTAAAAGACCCAGTAACAAGAAGCAACCAGGATAAAGTTGTTTAAAGAACACAATTCTCTTCCCCTTAAGTCTACCAGCAAGGATAATCAACACAGTTCCTGGAGAAATACTTGATCTTAGCTTTATGGGTTTTGGTTTGTGTTTGTTTACAAAGGGTTTTTCATGTCATCAACTAGGTAAAATTTTGGGGGTTTCTTAGCTGGTGGAGCAGAGATTGCTTTTTTCTAGTGTTGAGGAAATTTTCCACCATTTTTCTTCTTGATTGCCCATAAACCTTTTTTTGTGGTACATTTTGGAACGTGAGAACTTTCCCATGCCGCAATTTAGCTCTGGGTTACGGAGTGTCTTCTTGGCCGCAATTGTTGAGTCTCGAGGGGTAAACGGGCGCATTTTCAAGTTCAAACTAGTCCTAAAGAAGAAGAAAATCAAATTTTATCGATTTTCATGTGTTATATAGTCCATGAATTTTTGGTGATACAAGATTCCGGCTTGTTTTTTGGCCGACATTTTTCATGGACATCCGTTATGACCTTATTAATGGCGTTAGTTGGTCCCGAGGGGTAAATAGGCGTATTTTCAAGTTCAAACAAGCTTTAAAGCAGAAAAAACAAGATTTTACCAATTTTTGTGTGCTATAGTCCATGGATTTTTGGTGATATAAAAATCCGACTTGTTTTTGGCTGAAAATTTTCATGGACGTCCATTATGATCTTATTAATGGCGTGAGTTGGTCTCGAGGGGAAAACATGCGCATTTTCAAGTTCAAACAAGCCTCAAAGCAGAGAAAACCAGATTTTACCGATTTTCGTGTGCAATAGTCCATCGATTATTGGTGATACAAGATTCTGGCTTGTTTATGACCAAAAGTTTTCATGGACGTTCATTACGACATTTAAATGGCATGAGTTGGTCCCGAGGGGAAAACAGACGCATTTTCAACTTCAAACGAGCTCCAAAAAAGGAAAAACCAGATTTTACCAATTTTCGTGTGCTATAGTCCATGGATTTTTGGTGATAAATGATCCCGACTTGTTTTTGGCCAAACATTTTCATGGACGTCCGCTAAGACCTTATTAATGCCGTGAGTTGGTCCCGAGGGGTAAACAGGTGCATTTTCGAGTTCAAACGAGCCCCAAAGATGGAAAAATAAGGTTTTATCGATTTTCATGTGCTATAATCCATGGATTTTTGGTGATTCGAGAATTCGGCTTGTTTTTGGTCGAAACTTTTCATGGACGTCCGTTAAGACCTTATTAATGGCGTGATTTGGTCCCGAGGGAAAACGAGCACATTTTCAAGTTCAAACGATCCCCAAAGCAGGAAAAATAAGATTTTATCAATTTTCGTGTGTTATGTCCATGTATTTTTGGTGTTTTATGATTCCGACTTGTTATTGACTGAAATTTTTCATGGACATCCGTTAAGACTTTATTAATGGCGTGAGTTGGTCCCAAAGGTAAAATGGGCGCATTTTCAAGTTCAAACGAGCCCCAGATATTATCGATTTCCTACTTTGGGGCTCATTTAAACTTGAAAATGGGCATGTTTTCCCCTCGGGATCAACTAGCTCCATTAATAAAGTCGTAACAGACGTCCATTAAAAAATTTAATAAAAAAAATCTGGAATCCTATCATCAAAAATCCGTGGACTATAGCACAGAAAAATCGGTAAAGTCTGATTTTTTCCTGTTTTGGGGATCGTTTGAACTTAAATGGGGCCGATTGCCCTTCGGAACCAACTGATGCCATTAATAAGGTCGTGACGGACGTCCATTAAAATTTTTGTCAAAAAAAGTTTCAGAATCCTGAATCACCGAAAATCCATGGACCATAGCACACGAAAATTGGTAAAATATAATTTTTCCTGCTTTGGGGTTCGTTTGAACTTTAAAATGGGCTAGTTTTCCCCTCGGGGCCAACTAGCTCCATTAATAAGGTCGTAACAGACGTTTATGAAAAATTTTGGCAAAAAGATTTCAAAATCCTATCACCAAAATCGGTGGACTATAGCACACGCAGGTCAATAAAATTTGGTTTTTCCTGCTTTGGGCTCGTTTGAACTTGAAAATACGCATGTTGGCCCCTAGAGACCATCTGACGACATTAATAAGGTCGTAACGGACGTAATGAAATTTTTTGGTAAAAAAAGTTTCGGAAATCCGAATCACCAAAAATACATGGACTATAGCACACGAAAATCGTTAAAATTTGGTTTTCCTTCTTTGTGCTCATTTGAACTTGAAAATGGGCATGTTTGCTCCTCGAGACCAACTGACACCATTAATAAGGTCGTAACGGACTTCCATGAAAAAGTTTGGTAAAAAAAATTCTGGAATCTTATCACCAAAAATATGTGGACTATAACACACGAAAATCGATAAAATCTGGTTTTTTCTGCTTTGTGGCTCGTTTAAACTTGAAAATGGGTCTGTTAGCCCTTCGAGACCAACTGACATCATTAATAAGGTCGTAACGGACGTTCATGAAAAATTTCGGCAAAAAAAGTTCTGGAATCCCGAATCACCAAAAATTCATGGACTATCACAGAAATCAATAAAATCTAGTTTTTCCTGCTTTGGAGCTCGTTTAAACTTGAAAATGGGTCTGTTAGCCCTTCGAGACCAACTGACATCATTAATAAGGTCGTAACGGACGTTCATGAAAAATTTCGGCAAAAAAAGTTCTGGAATCCCGAATCACCAAAAATTCATGGACTATCACAGAAATCAATAAAATCTAGTTTTTCCTGCTTTGGAGCTCGTTTAAACTTGAAAATGGTCACGTTTTCCCTCGGGACCAACTGGCTCCAATAATCAATTCGTAATAGACGTCCATTAAAAAATTTGACAAAAAAGTTCTAAAATCCTGAATCACAAAAATACATGGACCATAGCATACAAAAATCAGTAAGATGTGGTTTTTCCTCCTTAGGAGCTCGTTTGAACTTGAAAATGGACTCCTTTTCCCCCATGGGACCAACTTACTTTATTAATAATGTTGTAACTGACGTTTATGAAAAATTTCGGCAAAAAAATTCCAGAATCCTATCACAAAAAATTGGTGGACTATAGCACACGCAAATTGGTAAAATCTATTTGTTTGAACTTCAAAATGTGTTTGTTTGTTCTTCGGGACCAACTAACGCCATAAATAAGGCCGTAACGGACCTCTAAAAAAAACTTTTGGCAAAAAACGTTCCGAAATCTCGAATCACCAAAATTTCATGGACTATAGCACACGAAAATCAATAAAATCTGGATTTTCCTTCTTTGGAGCTCGTTTAACTTGAAAAAGCGTTCA